TTTAACCGTTCTCCCAGATAGTGTAATTAACATTTCAATTAATTTGAAATATTTTTAATGTGGGAAAAAAATTTTTGATTAGGAAATAAATTATTTTAATCTTTTCTGATTTTTTTTCTGGAATAGATATTTCTTTATTAATATCTTTATTATTTTTTTTAAGGCTATTACTTCATTTTGTGCTTTCTTTAAATACCCCTTTTTTACATTTTTGTTTTTTTTATTTTTTTTTTATTATTTTTAGAATTTTGCTTCTTCCTTTAATTTATGTTTAAATATTTATGAATCGTTATTAATTATTACGATTATTAAACGTTATTAACCATTTTTTTAAAAGAATATAATTTTATCTGTTTTTCTTTTCTCTTTATTCTTGTTTCCACGTATTTTCTCTCGCCTGTTCAGTATACGGCATAAAAATTATTTTTTCTTATGTGTACGAGACTTTTTCAAGTCATTGCACAATATTGTAATATATACATATGGTTTTGTATATTTTATATTTTTTAAATGAAATTCAAAAATGTAAAAGTCACGATGAAAGGAATGATGTGTGTCATTACTCTGTCATTACTTATTGATTTATTGTACAATATATTATGAATCATTTTATTCTTATGTTGTTAATTGTTTTGTGACACTGGTTGTTTATGATACATTTGCAGCTTCTTATCTTCTAAGATATTCGTAATACAATAAAAGGCAGGATGAGAAGATAACATGTTATATATCACTGAACATTAAATTTCTTTTCAAATATTTTTTACAACGTCTATTAATATTAATCCATATATCTCATAAGATAAGGAAATTCGAAAAAAATACTAAAATTTGCAAATTATTACTGTTTTTAATTTCTGGCTATGTATGTAATCTTACTTTTTGCCAAAGAATTTATGTATGTTTCATACTTTTGACACTTCTATTAGAAATTATTATCATAATTTCTTTTCTTCTTCTCTAGCAATTTATCCTTATTTTTAAGTCTTTCATACTTCTCTTCTATGCATTACAATGCCATCTATCCTAAAAGTCCTAAACATTCTTAATAATTAATTATTTTAATAAATAGGAACAAATACAAAGATTATAATGGGAAATAACTGCTACAAATAGAGTATTCAACGATAGGCCAATGGTATGGCAATAAAATACTGTAGCATGTCATGGCGATGAGCAGATAAAATGATTCCAAAATTATAATATATGGGAATTAGGTTAGTAACAAATGGAATTTATTTAAATTTCTTTTTATTCGCATTTTTGCATGTGGAATAAACGGACTTTACAATTAGAAAATTATTTGAATATTCTCAGTGGCAGTCATGACTGTCCTTCATTCAATAACTTCTACCATTTGTTATGAATTTCAAATTTTTCTAATCATTTACACGCAGTTAATTTTCTTTTATAATATATTTCATGAAATCAAATTTAATATAAACGATAATTATTTAATAAAATATAATTCACACAATATAATAATTTAATATAAAAAAAAAAATTATATTCAATATTTGGGTAGCTTTTATTAGACTAAAATGAAAAAAGATCATATATTAAATGCAACATAATCCTATTTTAGTCTTGTGTTAGTATAATACAATATAATATAATTAAATATGAAAATGAGAATATAAATGGAAAGTAGAATAAAAAAAAATATAGAAACAGAGATAAAAAGGTGGCACGATAAAATATAAAGATAAAAATAAACAATAATATCAGTATCCAAACAAAAATAAAAATGCAATAAAACAATAAACGACGTGATATCTAAAAAATTAAATATTCATTTTATATCGAAAATACTGATGCAATATTAACTATAGATTGTGAAAACCCAGAATTTTTTCCTCCACCTGATATATATATACTCTAATTCCGCTTACTATATTACCACAGACAATTGAACCATACTTCTTGCACTATAACTATCCCTGTTACTCAACATAACTCTTTAACTTCTTAACATTTTCACTGAAAACAAAAACCAAGACGCCATGCTTCTTTCCCTGAAATCTAAAATCACCAGTGACCAACTATAATATTTAACGAACGCTCAGAAGTAGCACTTAACGAGGGTGGCAGTAGGATTTCCAGGAATTCGTCGTAGAAAACACCTAAAATGGAAGGTTCGTTTTATGGTTTTGAGAGATTGGGTCCTTGGAGAGCTTTGTCTAGCAGATCTCCTCCTGGCCTCTTCCAGGTCCCCTAAGGTCCGATTGTTTCAAAAGAACGTTCCTTTGGTTTGCGTACTCTCTGGCTTTTAGGTAGTCCCTCGTTCCACGAATTTTCGCCTTCCCAACGTCCATCCTTACCGTCTAGCCTCTTACCGTATACCTGACACCACCACTGAGCGATAATTTTAGACCTGCCGTCATCGATTCAGCCCTCTCTCTATTCCATACCAATTAACCACAGTGTTTTCCATGTGGAGAAGATAATTGCAAACACTGGAATATTAATAGATAGACTTACATGGTCAAAAGTGACAGAATTCGATTAGAAAATTGTGGTTGGGATAAGTAGAAGTAGCATGATTAGGTGCCTTTTTTATTTTAAAAAATGACAAAATGAATTATTATTGCATATAGCACCTATATCATTATCATAAATTTGTCATATTTATTTTTACAAGGAATATGTATTTTTAATATTTCAAGATGTCATAACAAAAATTAAAGAATTATTTATTTAAAAATTTAAAAATTCTAATTCTAATTCATTTCTAAAGAGATAAATTACTATAGAGTAATTAAAGTACCAAAAAATAGATATCTATAAAATCATTAATTGCTTTTAAAATAACACATTTGTGAGAATTTTTTCAAAATTTATTTGTTTGTATTTTAGATTTCTGTCGTGTCTTCAGAATTTAAAAATTATTTATTCTTAAAAATATTCACACTTTTTGATAACCTTTGACCTGACAAATAAGCATTATTTATGCCAATAACAAATAAATTTCACTTTCCTTCATTGCTATTCTTATTTCTGAAAGTATTCTCTCTAAAACTTTACATTTTTGTTAATTTCTAAAATCACAGAAGCTTATCAAATTTTGATATATGCAAGAAATATTACGCAGAGTGATTAGTGACCTCTAATATCTAATTACCGATTGATAAGTGAAATCAACATTCACCCAAGTTTCATAACACGTTTCTTTATCGCTGTTCCTTCGGTTGCTTGCAAAATCTCAGTACGTATTTCCTCTGAAGCATGATCTATATTATATTTCGAACGATAGCGAATGCTCATTGACCTCGGAATATCTAATATCACAGACGAGGAATTATTTTCGCAAAATGCCGTAACACTTCTCCATTGCGTCCAGTAATCTGAACAAATTTCGTCACGTAATGACACATTAGTGCCCTATGATACCTAATTGCTCCCCGATAAGCGAACACTCGCGATACCATGAACGTAGCATGATTTCTCTCACGTTTCTCGACTCGTGTCAAGCTGATGAAAATAATCTTGCAGAGATGCAAGATCAAAACAGGAGACAACAAAACATCCCATCAGCCAATCCACGATCAAAGGCTTATTCGAATAAAGCAATTGCGCACGCGCTTCCTGTACCTCTGATTAGAGTCTATTAGAAACAAATCATCGTTATTGGTCAAGGGTTCGCATCCAGGCATTATCCAATTGCGTAACTCTGCTAATGCCGCAATACCAGCTGCTGAGTCTACGTTTTCGGGTAAACGACGTATTGTTCGTGCATCCATCAGAATCGTCATAATCGTGACAGCAATCAGCTGCAATCCGCCTTTGACTCGCGCTTATCTAGGAACAGTGACAAGGCAAACGCTGCGTCTCCGTTATACCCAGGGTGTTTATTTCGTTACGCCAGATATCAAACAGCCATGCTGATTATTTATCCCGTTGATGCTAGTTTCCCACTGATTCCTCGGAACAGGAACTGACTAGACTCTTGCCTACCCGTTCACCGATGCATTCGCAAAATTGGAATAGCTGTTTCTCGCAGGAAACGTACGACGATTCTCCGTGAGAACGCGGCTATTACGATAACGACACCGTAATATAATATTAGCGAATTCTAATCTCACCGAAAAGCGTTCCTCTATGCAGAGATACGCCGGCTCTAAGACGTTAACGAAATTGCCTCCCAGGCATATGGTCCCGCGTCTTTAATCTTGTTCAAGTGTTCAAGAAAATGGAAATTATTCGAAGATGAAAATTACTTTGTACCGTTAACAGCCTTTTGGCTCCTGATGGGTCTTTAATGAAAAGTATCTTGATGCTAGAACCACCGAATCACCCAGTCAGGTGACTTTCCTTCCCGCTGATGTAGATGGCGTTGCTTGAATTCCCATCGAAGTTTTGTCGTAGCGTTTAATAGGATTTAATTGGTAATAAAGTGGTCTGTGTGTTATGTTAATTGTAAGTGTACAGTGTTTTGGCGTTAGGTATAGGTAGGTTTAGCTAGGTCAATAGTGTCATTCGTTTTCTTCTTTATCTCACGATAGCACGCTACAAAATATATTTCATACCAATATGTCAAAGAAATGAAAATTGTTTCTGTTGGGACATACACTGTCAACAAGTCATCACTATCCATCAGTGGAAATGCGACGGATCTTTTATGTATGCGTGTCAAGAATTCACAAGTGTAATTCGTCGACTTTCCGATGCACTATACTTCACGAGACTATACCGAACGAGAATTGGCAGAATATATAAATAAAACGGTTCCATAATGCTCAGCGTCGAGTTTTCGAAGTCCTAAACAGGGACCAGCAAAATTACTACAAAGGTACTACAAAATCTCGCACCACGCGTCGTTCGTGTGCAGTTGCTTCATCCTGTCAATTCTCGTATAGTAGGCATAGTATGTCGCGCGACACTGATTCATTGCAATTATTCTCACTTGGAATTCCCACGTTGGAATCCCTGAAACTCGAACTAACTATCATCCATTGAATAATAGCAGTAATTAATAAAATACGTGCCCGTTGATGTTACAGAACGCAGCCTCAACGAAGGCGAAGGAAACATCGGCGACATCGGCGACGAACACGTCGGGCAACGGGTCGCCAGGGAACAATGGCGGCCATGCGCCGCTTCGTCGCAGCTACACGTCCCTGGTAACGACCCTGATCGAGCAACATCGCAAGCTAGACCGCAGCGCGAGCGAGCCAACGTCTCGCTACAAGACCGAGCTCTGCAGGCCGTTCGAGGAGAGCGGCACCTGCAAGTACGGCGACAAGTGTCAATTCGCTCACGGCTACAGCGAACTGCGCAATCTCGCTCGCCACCCTAAATACAAAACCGAGCTGTGCCGCACGTTCCACACGATCGGCTTCTGCCCCTATGGGCCCCGCTGCCATTTCATTCACAACTTCGAGGAGGCCCGGATCCACAACCAGAAAGTGAGCGCGCAGCTGGGATCCACGCAGCCCAACATCATGGGCCTGAACCCTCTACTGAGCGCGGCAGCAGCCGCGGCCGCAGCCGCAGCCGCGGGTGGAAATGCCTGCAACGGCTCGAATGTCAACCCCACGGCCAGCAGTGTCACCCTGCTGGAACAGATCGCGGCTTCTCCGCAAGTAGCGGCTGTCGCGGCCGCAGCGACCCCTAACCTCATGAGAACGAACTCGCTCAGCCTGTGTAGTACCACCAACGCGTACAACCCGCCGCCATTGCTGAGAACGAACTCGCTGAGCCTGACCACTAGCCAACACCATCACCACCACCACCACCATCATCATCATCACCAGACTGGTTCGACGACTGTCAGCTCGGTGATCGGCGCCACCAGGCCCAAGCCGTTGAATCTCAGTCCGACCTTCTCGCTCGGCAGCACGGGAGACTCGATCTCTCCGTCGTCCAGCCTCAGTCAGTCGCCGACCAACTCGATGGCGAGCTTCTTCAGCGACGACTGTAGCCAACAACCGTCCGTCACCAGTCTACCCACCACGCCGTTCAGCTTCGGCCAGGATTTCGGGCTCCTAGCGACGAGACAGAGCCCTAGCCCACGAACGAACAGCGTGTGCAGTCCGTTGGGCTCGGACGAGCTCACGCCCAGGACACCGTCCCCGTTGTCACCGAACGCCGAGTCCAGACTGCCTGTGTTCAACAGGATCAGCAGCACCCTGGGCGACTTCGAGAATCTTAAGATCTAAGGGAGCTGTACTCTACGGGTCCATCGACTCTTTGGTATATTATTTCTTTTTCTCCCTCCTCCCATCTGGTATATCTTTGTCAGAGACACACACGGGGCTGGAGGGCTAGGGACTCGTGGCAGAGCACGGATAGGCAGAGTGTGGGCAAAGAGCGTTGGACCCCGATGATCACATACACGTACACACACGCTAATTTATATTATCGACCGAAAAGACAGGAGAATGTTTAGGGAGAGGGGACGGACTCTTCCACCGACTTGAAGAGGTTTTTTTCATGTGGTTTTTTTTTCTCTTTTTTTTCCTTTTTTTTTTTTTTAAACATTTGAGCTGCATTTCTCGCGTCAGACGGACCTTCCTCTCCGTCGTACTCGGCTTCTTATTTAAGCGTTTCTTTTCTGTTCGTAGGACACGTTAGGCATCTTACTCTCGTTCTATAAAACGATCGTCTCTTCCTTTTTATCATAATCGTCATGATTATATTATTATTATTAATATTATTATTATATATATTATATTAGTATATTATATTATCATCGCTATAATTAATATTATTAATAACGTTATCAGTAATCTATCACTCTATCGATATACTGAATATCGTGATTAATC